AGTGTAAGAGCCGACTGATTTATACAGACATTGTGAATAGGGACCGTGTCTGTCGGCGATCATCGTAGAGCGCGGCTCTTCGAGTGTAAGATGATCGCCGCAGACCGCGGCTGATACAAGCGAATGTTTCGAAAACATTGTAGGGTTCGGCGTCTTTTTGAGACGCCGATGAGCGAACCCGTGACAGCGAGCGTGCGTTGAATCAGGAGCAGTCGTATTGAAACTTCTGAACAGTGCAGAACCATAGTAAAAACCACGCCTATTATTTGTCCTGACACTTCCGAGTCACTCAGTATCTTTATTTTCCGTTTTTTCCTCTCCGCTCTCCCCTATTACCAAACTTCAGAAGTGGGATTCTACTTGGTTTTAAAAGTGTGTAAAGTGTTTTGTTACAAAATGGTGAATCCAAGTGTGTTCCGAATTGCTCAGTTGAGAGACGAGTTGCAAAAAATTGGGATTACCTACTACAGGATCAAAGGCGGACCTAATTGTTAAACTTCAGGAGGCGCATCCCGAAGGTACGTGGATGCAGAATCTCAGTGTATTGCCTTCCGAAGAAACGACACTGCATGAAACGCCAACGGATGCTGCACCTGCTTACGATTACCAATTTCTGTTAAGAGAAAGAGAACTAATGGGAAGAGAATTACGAGTGATGCAGAGGGAAAACGAATTACTGCGAAATTCATCCCCATCGAGCAGTACTACAACCGACTCAAGAATCGGAATATAAGCAGTGAGTGACTTGCTTAGTGATTTTGATGGGGTTACCGAAATTTTTGGCAATTGGGAAAAGCAGGTGAATTTATTGCGTGCGTCGTACAATCTCGACAACAATGCCGCGAAAATTTTGATCGGCATGCGTTTGAAGGGTCGAGCACTTAAATGGTTCCACTCTCGCCCGGAACACATTGAAATGAGTACGAACCAATTATTGAAGGAAATGGAAAATTTTTTCGATCGCAGAGAGAGTAAACTAACTTTACGCAGACGGTTTGAAGAAAGGACGTGGAGATCAAACGAAACCATTCAGCGCTTACTACCACGATAAAATTGTTTTGAGCAATCATATAACGGTGGAAGAAGACGAACTAATTGATTAACCTCGTGGATGGAATACCGGATAGGCAGCTAAGGAATCAGGCGAGAATCCAGAATTTCAATATGCACCCGATTTACTGGCAGCGTTCGACAGCATTGACTTGACGGATGGAAAGCAGCGATTGCAGCGAGAGACGGTTTCCGGAAGCAGATCAGAAGCACGACAAAACAGGCAACCACCCACTCAACCTCGGAGCAGTTTCGAAAAGGTGCATCAACAAAGTATTAGGTGTTACAATTGTAGTGCATATGGACACATATCTAGAGACTATAAGGAACCTCGGCGAGAAAACGGATCCTGCTTCCGTTGCGGTAAGACAGACCATATTTACGCTCAATGTAAAAGTAGGACGGATGCGAAAGAAATATGTTGCGTAGATAGTGTAGTGGCGACAAAAAGACGAATTTGTAAAAACGGTCGTTATTGAAGTATGCGACAATACCGTACAGGCAAAAATTATGTTTAGATGCGCGTATTGATACCGGTAGTCCGATTAGTTTTATAAAGGAAACCTTCGTTCCACAGTGTCTGATAGATAGTACTAGTACTTGCCGGGAAATCATTTTGTGGCTTAATAGTAGTAAGTTAGTTACGTTAGGGACAGTAATGGTAAACATTCAACTTGAGGGAGCAGTACAGGGAAAAATTGTTTTATATATTGTTGCCCGATAATACTATGGCAGCACCAGCAGCCTTAGGTAGAGATACATCGAAAAATTTGATATGAAATTAACTATGTCTGCAGTTACCACAGAAGAAGCGATTTCAGAAATTTTGAATATCGATGTTAGTGAAGATAATAGTAATTTCGTGGTACTTGTCCCTTAATACGGATATACCTCTGGCTGACCAGTTACGTGTAAAAAAACCTCTTTAATCAGGAATATTTGCAACCAGAACGTCCGAAGTTACCCAGAGTAAAAACAGAACTAAAAATAATTGTAAAGGATATGAAGCCATTAGTTTTTCACCGCGCAGACTCTCATATTCCGAACAAACTAGCTTACGAAAAATTTTAGACAATTTGTTGGAAAACGGAATAATTCGTGCAAGTGAGTCAGAGTACACGTCACCGATTGAATTAGTTAAAAAGAAGAACGGCGAGTACAGAATGTGTGTAGATTATCGAGTACTCAACAAACAAATCGCAAGGGATAATTATCCTATTCCTCTCATTGAAGATCAATTGAACATACTTAAGGGAAAAGTCTATTTAGTTTACTGGATTTAAAGGATGGGTTTTATCATATATCAATTGCAGAAGAATCTATTAAATATACTTCATTCATTACACATTTGGTCCGGTTGATAAACAAATTTTAATAAAAAAATACGTATTTTTAGTGGTGGACGCGTTTACTAAATTTGTTAAATTGTTTTCTACCAAGACGACCTCCAGTCGTGAGGCTATAAATTGTTTGCAGAGTTATTTTGATAATTATAGCAGACCGCAATGCGTTGTATCTGATCGCGGCACGTGCTTCACTTCGCTGGAGTTTGCCGACTTCCTGAAAAATAATAGCGTTAAACATGTACTGATTGCTACCGGTTCACCCACAGGCCTATGGGCAAGTGGAAAGAATAAAATCGTATGTTGACACCTATGTTAAGTAAATTAACCGATAATGATAGCGGAAAATATTGGTATAAAATATTATCGGATGTAGAATTTTGTATTAACAATACGGTATGCAAAAGTACGGGTGAAACGCCCAGTAGATTATTGTTTGGCGTGGACCAGCGTGGTCATATACGTGAAGAAATTAAAGATTACGTGACGGAAGTTATCAATAGCGATGTTAGAAATCTAGATGTAATTAGGGATAAAGCGGCTAACAGAATCGTTGCATCGCAAGAATACAATGTGAAGTATTTCAATAAAAAACATAAAGAACCTTATAAATATCGAGAGGGTGATTACGTGATGTTACGTAACTTTGACTCTACAGCGGGAGTCTCAAAAAAGTTAATACCGCAGTTCAAGGGACCATACGTTATACGAAAAGAATTGAGAAACGATAGATATTTAGTGGCGGATATAGATGGGCTCCAGAGTACGCAAAAACGGTATCAAGGTGTGTGGGAGCCAAAAAATATGCGACCGTGGATAAAAAATTGCGATAGTTGTAAGTAATTTAAGTAGTGTATTGTGAACCGAGACCGAGGATGGTCTATTGTCAGGACGGCCGAGTTGTAAGAGCCGACGATTTATACAGACATTGTGAATAGGGACGGTGTCTGTCGGCGATCATCGTAGAGCTCGGCACTTCGAGTGTAAGATGATCGCCGCAGACCGCGGCTGATACAAGCGAATGTTTCGAAAACATTGTAGGGTTCGGCGTCTTTTGAGACGCCGATGAGCGAACCCGTGAAAGCGAGCGTGCGTTGAATCAGGAGCAGTCGTATTGGAACTTCTGAACAGTGCAGAACCATAGTAAAACCACGCCTATTATTTGTCCTGACACTTCCGAGACACTCAGTATCTTTATTTTCCGTTTTTCCTCTCCCGCTCTAACAAATTACATTAGTTAGTTTGCAGTAAATTAGTTAATCTGTCAGTTAGTTAGTTAGTTTGCAGTTAGTTAGATTGTTTGCAGTTAGTTAGTTAGTTTGCAGTTAGTTAGATAGTTTGCAGTGAATTAGTTAGTTTGTCAGTTTGTTAGTTAGTTTGCTGTTAGTTAGTTAGTTTGCTGTTAGTTAGTTAATTTGTTAGTTAGTCAGTTATCTTGCAGTAACTTTGTTAGTTTTTAAGTCAGTTAGTTAGTTTGTTGTTAGTTAGTTAGTTTGTCAGTTAGTTTGTTAGTTTGCCAGCTAGTTAGCTAGTTTGCAGATAGTTTGTTAGTTTGTCAGACAGTTAGATTGTCTGAAGATAGTTAGCTAGTTTGCAGATAGTTATATAGTTTGCAGTTATTTAGTTAGTTTGCAGCAAATTTGTATGGTTGTCAATTTGTTAGTTAGTTTGCATTAAATTAGTTAGTTTGTCAGTTAATTCGTTATCCTGTCTATAAGTTATTTAGGTTGTCAGTTAGATAGTTTGTTTGCAGTTAGTTAGCTAGTTCCGCCTCCTTCGGGCGTAATCCCGCCGCTCGTGGAGCATGGGCGGCGTGGCGCGTCGCGCCGGTCGTTGCTCGACGGCGGGCGGCGGTGGTGCGGACGTCGCCACTGCGTGGGCGCTCTTGGCCTGTGTTGGGCCCGTGGACGCGGCCGGGTGGAATTCCACCTTTAGAAGCCGGCCACCCCTCGCCCATTTGACCTTATAGTGCCCCCCTGGGACCTTCTGGCGATACCGCCGTGTGGTCCAGGGGACGTGCGGGGGTACCCGCAGCACGTCCTGCCCCAAATTGATCAGGAAGGGCTGCGGGGCAGACTCCGCCTCCGGGCCTCCGGTGGCGTCGGGTTCCACCGTGCGTATTCCTTGCTGGGCCTGTATGCCCGAAGGGCCAGGTTCTTGTTCGTCCCCCATTAGCACCAGCCGATTAAATCGGCGATCAATCTCCTGGTCCCGCGGGGACCCCACCACCGTTACTAAACTTTCGTCGCTGCTTGACGACATTTTCACTTTCACTTTTAAATTTCAGCGTGGAATTGGGTGATTCGTCCTGCGGATCCTGCTTTTACGTGCGGATGTCGCGAATCGCTCCCTTCCATATTAATTAGCGGGATGGTAGGGCATATCTCCCCTCTCACCGTATTGTTCTAAAGACGTTGGATATGTGAGAATTCATACCGTTTTGGTTTTGAACGGCTGTTCTCACTGTCCTTGTCTCGGTACAGCGGAATTCGGATCTTCGTTTATCCCGTGTGCGTCTTCGCCGGCCGTTGTCGATGTTGACTCATCGACGGGCAGTTTCACAACCGTGTAATCGGACGTGTGTATGTAGACGTAACTGTACGTACTTTAACTACGACGCACGCACCTGTCTCGGCCCGGTAATACTTCCTCGATTCGTCCCATTTCCCATTGATTCGGGGGAGAAGAGGGGTTTGCACTAAAACCAAGTCATTCGGTTTTAACTGCACTTGGGTGGTGCGCCACTTATAGCGTTTCTGGAGGTGCGTGAGATAATCTCGCGTCCAATGTTTCCAGAGCTGCTCGTGGAATTTCTGGACCGCTCTCCATCGCGTAAGCCGCGAGAGATTTTCCTTTTCCACTGACTCGACCGGAAGTGCATTCATCGGTCCGCCTATTAGGAAGTGGCCAGGCGTGAGAGGGACATAATCCTCGGGACAGTCACTCAAAGCGGCGATCGGTCGCGAATTCAGACTCGCCTCGAACTTGCAGAGGAGTGTCTGCATTTCCTCGCTTGTGGGTGTAAATTCGCCGATGATGCGTTTCAGGTGATGTTTCACCGATTTCACGCCGGCTTCTTGCATACCACCAAAGTGGGGAGCACTGAGTGAATTAAACCTCCACTTAATGCCCTTTTGACCGCACTTCGTTCGCATTTCTGGGGTTTGATACACCGTATTGAAGTGTTCCTTCAATTCCCGATCTGCTCCGACGAAGTTCGTTCCGTTATCACTGAACATGCAGGACGGAACTCCTCGGCGGGCGATAAATCGGTCTAATGCGGCCAGAAATGCACTCGTCGTATAATCATGGACGAGTTCGATGTGCACGGCTCTCGTAGCGAAGCAGATGAACACTGCTATGTATGCTTTATGAGCCGTTTCCCCACGACCGGCGGAGTCGCGGACCCGATACGGTCCCGCGTAGTCGACTCCGCAGTTTGAGAAAGGTCGTGCCGCGCGACTGCGCTCCGGGATTAAATCCTGCATAATTTGCGTGGAGGTATTTGCTTGCCATCTCACGCATCGTATGCATTGGTGGATAACCGTGCGCGCCGCGTTTCGGCAGCCGATGATCCAGAATTTCTGTCTCACCGTGTACATGGTCAATTGCAAACCCCCGTGCAACGTATCCACGTGGCATTGCCTGATTATCATGTTAGACACATGATGTTTCGGCAGGATAATCGGGTGTTTGGTTTCCCATGCAAGCGTCGCATTCTCCAACCTTCCACCCACTCGTAAGACTTCCTTATCGCCGAGAATAGGGTTTAGGCTCTTTAGAGGAGATGTCGCAGGGATTCCCTTGCGCTTTTTCAAGCACCGGTACTCTTCTGCGAAATGCGTACGCTGTAAGTAGCGTGCAATTCTCTCCGTTGCACGCTGGATTTCCGCTGCTTCGACAACTTTTGCATCGAATGACCTTCGTTCTCCGACCGCCGGCCTCCGGAACCGGAGGCAATAGGCAGTCACACGTTGTAGCTTACTCCATTGGGAAAATCGGAAAACTAAGTTCCATTCCTTTTCCGGAGTGGCCACGAGGGTATGCGATACGCGTTTACCCTCCTCGGTCTCGAGCGAGACTGGCGATTTCGGCCAATTTTCCTCTGATTGTCGAAGCCATTTCGGCCCGGAAATCCATAATTCGGACTGAATGAGTTCTGCGGCGTCTACACCTCGCGAATTCAGATCCGCTGGGTTGAAGCGCGTGGGAACGTGCCGCCATTCAGTTTTTGGGGGCATGGTCTGAATTTTTGACACGCGGTTGGCTATCACAACCTTCCATGTCGACGCATGCTTTTTCAACCAAGCGAGTGCAATCGTGGAATCTGTCCAGCAGATTATGCGGCTCATTTCTATTGGGAATGACCGTTTCACGTGCACTATGAGCTCGGAAAGTAACACAGCCCCGTTCAATTCCAGGACGGGGATAGACTGTGTTTTTATCGGAGCCACTCGTGTCTTTGCCATGATTAATGTCGTAAACACGTCATTATTTTTCGTCGTCACACGTAACTAAGTGACGGCCGAATAGGCAGCGAGTGATGCATCGCAGAATCCGTGTAGTTCCACAGTAACTGCGTCGGCTCCGTATTGGATCCATCTCGGGAATTTTAGTTCTTTGAGACTGCTCCAATCCCTGCAGAACGTGTTCCACGTTTTTTGCTTGTCCGTGGAAATTTGGTCGTCCCACTGGATTTTCTCCAGCCATTGGGACTGCATCAGAATTTTTGCACGGATTACGACTGGTGATAACCAGCCGAGGGGATCGAAGAGCTTCGCGATATCCGAGAACAAATTTCTTTTTGTCATCGGTAACGCAGACGGTTGAAACCGTTGCAGATCGAAATGGAAGTAGTCTCCGGATGGGATCCATCGTAGACCAAGCACTTTCAGTTCGGAATCGTCGAACAGAGTGAGGTCTACGGCGTGGGAGTGAGCACGTTGGGGGATGTTCCGCAATAATTTCGCGGAGTTTCCGGCCCATTTCCTCAACTTGAACCCACCGCCCTGTAGGAGATCGCAGACTTGCTTGCGAATTTTCTCTAGCAGGGTTTTGTTGGACGCTCCCATAAATACGTCGTCGACGTATATGTCCCTCTCGAGGATCGGAGCGGCGAGAGGATACCTCTCTCCATCCTGCTCCTTTAATTCGAGGAGGGTACGCATCGCTAAATATGGGGCGCACGCCGTACCGTATGTTACGGTATTCAATTCGAAAGCTTTCAGCTTTTCGTCGTCTGACGCGCGCCATACGATGCATTGGAAACGACGGTCCTGTGGGGCGACGAGGATTTGCCGAAACATCTTCTCGATATCTGCCACCAGAACGTACTCATACAGACGCCACCTCGTTAAAACCGAGGTGATATCGTTCTGTAATTTTGGTCCGACATGCAGGACGTCGTTTAGGGATCGCCCTCCGACCGTTCTGCTGGTTGCATTGAACACAACTCGCAGTTTGGTCGTTGCACTTTCCGTGCGTACGACCGCTCGATGCGGAATGTACAGTCGATTCTGGTCAATCGGCTCAAGCCGAGTCATGTGACCTAAGGACTCGTACTCCGCGAGGAACTCAGAGTATTCTCTGTCGAGGGTGTATCCGCGTCAGTTTACGCCTCATCCTCGCGAGAGCGGACAGCGCTATGTGGAACGAGTGTCCTAACGCTTCGTCCGGTCTCGGGTGATTCAAGGGCAATCGGACTATAAACCGTCCGGTTTTGTCCCGTTCGACGGTTCTTCGGAAGAGTGCTTCGCACTCTTCTTCCGCCTTGGACCGCACCGAGGTCGTGGGGGATTTCTTCGGTTTCCCAGAATCGTCGAATCGCGTAATCCAGCGATTCGAGAACGGTGCAATGCAGCGTTCTTATCGTATTCCGGCCGTCGCCTTCAGCGTGTATAGGGCCGGATATAACCCAGCCAAACGCCGTTTCTTGGGCGATCGGACCTTCATTCGCCCCTCGTCGGAAGCCCGAACGAATCACCTGAGCATATAAATCCGCTCCGATCAGAATTTCGATCGTAGGATCGGCCCTGGCTTCTGGATCGGCTAACGGTAAACCTCGGGACGCACTGTAAACACTCGCGTTCGCCGACGTGTTGCGGTAGGTCGTGATTTTCGGCACGACGTACGCTTGAGCGACACATATCGGTTTTCGACTCGTTTATCGAGCCGAGGTTTAAACCGACGCTATATTTTATTTACTGCGTCTGGCCGCCCCCAAAGCCCGATACCGTGGCTGGGGTACGCACGCGTTTCAATCGGAGGTCGTTTGCCAGACCTGCAGAGACGAATGACGTCTCCGATCCTTGGTCTAACAGTGCTCGCGCGATTCGCGATGCACCGTTCTCTCCGAACACGCGTACTCGTGCCGTGGCTAGCAGCACGGTCCTCGGTGCGCCTGTACCGAGCGCGGTACAGTGTGATGTCGAGCCCGTTTCTTGTAGGCCTTCGAAGTCGAAGGTTTGCCTTTCGGCTTCGACACGGCCGTACTTCGTCGTTGAGCGTTGTAATCGCTCTCGTCACGTTGGCCGTATGCACTTTGCGCCTGCGGCCTCGGATAATTTTGTTCCCGCAGTCCATCATAGTGCAGGAGGGTATGATGCTTCCCCCTACACCGATGGCATACCTGGGGTCTCTGACATTGCGATGCCGTATGAGAAAATTCGAGGCATAGCGCACAGGCCATGCGGTTCTGTACGTAGTGGTGACGCATTTTTGGCGTCAGCACTTGAAAATTGGTGCATTGAGGCAGACTGTGTGCCCCAGTGCAGAATCCGCATACTGGCATCCGCATTTGTTTGGTTCGCCCGTCGTTTGCGGAACATGAGCGTCTCGGGTTTGGGGCCGAGTCGGTTCCCATAACGACGTTATGGCTTGCCAGAGGCTTCGAAGCGACGCTTTTTGGTCGAGCGTCGATGGGCTTCGGCATGCGGGATTTTGTTTCCGGGGCGAGAGCTGCCTCTCGACGGTCCTCTTTCATCGAAAGCAGAGCTTGCGCGTGATGATCGATGAAGGTTCGGACATCCTCGAACATCGGGTAGTTAGTCGAGAGGCCGAGCGATCTCTGCCATTCCAGCTCCAATTTCGGAGTGAAATGTTGTATCGTCCAGTACGCTAGCATCCATTCTACTAGCTGTTCGGACGTGCCCCTTTTTCTTAATGCAGCTAGAGTCTCTGTGCATTCCACAGTGACCTGCTGCATGCTGGCTAGATCGTTGAATTCAATCTGCTTCAGCGAAAATAGTTTGTCGAGCAACCTTCCCGTGACCATGCGTGGAAGCCCGTATTTGTCCTTGAGCATTCTCCACGCTTCGGGGAAGTTGCGCCCGACAATCT